CACCCCCGCCGCGCTCCCTGTACCCGGGAAAGTTTGGGCACCCGCTGCCTGTCCCCGGTGCTGTAGAGGGAAAGGGGCACCGGGCTCCGCCTCTCTCGCAGAGACGTAGAAGTAACGCCCCCAGCTTGTCGCTGCGTTTGGGAGGTTCAGGTGGCATGGTGACCCGCGGGCTTCCCCGCTGCTGGGTTCTGGCATTTTGACTGGCCACGTGCCTCTGTCCGCCACAGCTGGCAGAGAACCCGAAGGTGCAGACTAAGAGGACTCGGGCTGCCGCCTCCCGACTCCCTACCCCTAAGGCTAGCTAGCATCATGTTTTCTTTGTATGATCTGAGATAGGGTCTCTGGCAGCCCACCCAGTCTGCCCTTGAACCCCTGATCCTCTGGCCTCTATCTCCCAAGTGTTGGGATCACAAACATGGGCCAATACCCAGTCTTCTTTTTTTTATGTTTTCGGTGCCAGAGATAAGACATGCCTTCCCCATTTCCCCTCCTCCACGAGCCCAGCAAATGTGCACTACTGAGTCACACACCCACACACTTCCAACCCCAGGTGTGGCTTCCAGGCCTGTCTCTTAATGGCTTTCTCGGGAGGCCCTCCTCGAAGCCCGGCTCAGCTGCCTAGCTCAATTCTTTGTCACAAGCCTGCCGTGCCATACCCACTCTACAAGCTCCAGGTCACCACACCCGGTGTTATTTTCTCAGGGATTACAAGGGGAGACTGAGTCCAGGACAGGAGAGTGGAATCCCTGTGGCGGCTACACAGGTATTCATCTTCCTACTTTGATATATCACTAAAAAAAAAAAAAAAAAAAAAAAAATGTACTGAAGTTTCAGGCCCTGGCTTTGTTCAGGCCAAAGTGATAGGAAATGGATCATATATTCTTCAGAATTCCAGCAGAAGTGGGCGGGTGGGCAGGACAGTCACCGCCCACCTTCCTCAGACAAGATGGGAGCTGCCCCAGCTTGAACCCCCAGGAGGTCTTGGTGTGAGCTGGGCATTCCTGGGCAAGCATTTTGCTCCTGCCTGCCATGCCTGAACCATGTCTGCAGGCATGAACCAGGATGAGCAGAAAGTGCTTATCACCTGTGGCAGGGTATTTGCTCTGGTCCCCAACTTCAGAGCACAGCATCTCACATCAGTTCCCCCACCCTGTCCCTTCACCCAGGGTAGGGAGGGAATGCTTTCACATGTGTGTGAATATTTGACGAACATTTGCCTCCTCCATCCCCAACTTTCTCAAGGGATCCCTGGTACCTCCCAAGAGCCAAGGTTATGTCCCCTAACCGTACATCACCTCCCAACAGGCTATTCCCTGAGCTGCCGATGGCTCTGTGTTCAGGTTTTGCCCTCTGCAGAAATGTGGCAGGGTTACTCCAAACTATCTCCTCTCATGGTAACAAAGGACATGTGGGAGCCCCTGGGAATAGCAGCAAGAGTCCTTGAATTCCTGTTCTGGATGGTAAAGGACCTGGGTTGGCCAAATTCAGGTTCTGGTGGAGGTCAGCCTGTCTCCCAGCTTCCGAATTTCCCCAGAATTTTGGGTTTGTTCTTTCCTACTAGTACTGATCCGGTGCCAACAAGGCAAGAGGCCCTGATATCACCATGTGCCTGTGACACCCCTCCAGGGTAGATGGTTATTCTCACTTATCCTCAATGTGGGAACCTTGGCTTAGTCACAGGCCACCTAGCAAATAGAGCTTCTGGACTGAACATCTGAGTTGTCCTTAGGGAGGGAACACCAGTCATTCTGGTGTGTGTGTGTGTGTGTGTGTGTGTGTGTGTGTGTGTGTGTGTAGGGGGAGAGGCGGTGACAGAGAGGATACAGGGTGATGCTCCTTTCACCTGCCTGAACTGAGATGGGGGCTCCTCCACATGGCCTCTGAGAGCTTGGGTCTGAGCCCTCTGGACTATGGCTTCTCTCTCCACCCTCCCCCCCTCCCCCAGGTGTGGCTGAGCTGCTCCCCGATCCTCCACGGCCGCCCCCGACGGATGCCAGTTGCACTGTCCTCTGATGCTAGGAGTACCAAAACTACCTCTGTCCCTAGGGCGCCACAGCTCGGAGATGAGAGCCCTGGAGTATTTCCCAGTTGCTCTCTGAGCCGGCAACCTGCAGGAGTCACCTGGGGAGCTCAAAATGAGAAAAAGCGGGTGTGGCTCATCTGGTAGTGCTTGTCTAGCATGGCAGGCACCAGAATCCAATTCACCGAGACTCCAGCACTCTGGAGGTGGAGGCAAGGGGATCATCAACGCCGTCCTCCTCCACATAACAAGTTCAAGACCAGCCTAGGCTACAAGAAAACGTCTCAGAAAAAGTAAGTGAAAACGGAAGTGGTAATTGTCCCCACCTTTGTCCAGCTTGGAGTCTGACTTAGCTGGACCAAGCAAGGCTGGGAAGGAGTAATCATCACCCAGTGACAGCTGGCCACAATGGAGACCTGAACATTTAGTGTCAAGAGCCCATCTGGAAGGCAGGCTGGGCCTTGTGCTGAGGTGCATGGCTGATTTTTCGGCAGGGTGCTGTTGGAAGCTTCTGGAAGGGACACTGAGTTCTGGAGGAGGAGGGTCACCTTACCCTCCAGTGGCAGACAGCTGCAGAGACATTGATGACCAGGTCATACCTGGGAAGCCCTCTCCAAATCATCTGGAGCTTTAGGGCAGGGCAGTGGCCGGGTTGGGCATCCTAGGTATTGGCCTGGGTGGGTGGCTGTGAAGTCAGGTCCCTTTTGAGCTCTGGGACCCCTTCTCTCTGTGTGGGTAGTGGGAAAGTTGGTCCCCACCCCCTCCTCACCCCCAGGGATGATCAGCCTCAGGAACAGTTTCTGTGTGCCATTCTACACGATCCAAGTACTTCCTGCGTCGGGGGCATCTGCCCTTCTTGGCATTAGACTCTGAGGACCAAGGAGAGCCAGAAACGGGCATCAGGAAAGCTCTACAGACTGGGGCGGGGCTGGCCTGGTAGGGGAGGCAGACTAGAAAAAGGCTGAGAAAGTTCTGGGTGTGGCCAGCCCAGGCAAGATGCAGATGGGAGTGGAGGCATGCCTGCCTCCCTGGCTGTTCCTCCTCATCCTTCTGCTCCTCCCTGTTTAGTTCCCTGCCACCAGGGAGTCCCATCCAGCACTCTGCCTGCTCCTCTGGCTGCCCTGCTGCTATGAGGCACTCAGCGTGAAGTGCAGGGCCTGGCTGGCATGCAGCAGCAGCCCTCTGCAAGGGCGTAAGTGGGAGGGCCAGGGAGGCCTGAGTCCCCAGGCCTAGGATGGGGTGTGATGGATGCCAGCATCCATCCTCAGAGGAAGCCACCTGTCAGCTGCCAAGCCAGCAGGGCTGCCTGAGGAGCCACAGGAAGTGGGGCTGGCCCCGCCTGTGGCGAGGAAACTCTCGGAGCACCCCCCCCACCCCTCGCCCCAGTGCATAAAGTGGCTGCATGGCAGCGAAGACGACGGTGGCGAGTCCACAGGGAAACGGGAGCTGTGTGGGGACCACAGTGGCCGCTGTGGGGACAGTGGTGCAGGAGCCCCGGTCCCTACTGACCTGGGCTAAAGTCCCTGAGTCCCCACAGCTGGCTGAAGAAGCCTCAGGAGGCTGCTCAGGCTTTCTCAGACTCAAGGATCAGGCTTAATGTTTGATTCTGAGCAGTGCCCTACATAGCCCAGGCTGGCCCCCAAATCCCTAAATAGCTAAGGCTGGCCTTGAACCCCTGATCCTCCTGCCCACCACTTTCAAGTGGTAAGATTAAAGGTGTCTGTTACAATGCTTGCTTTTTCTTTTTTTTTTAAAATAAATGTGTCATCATCATCAACATCATCATCATCATCATCATCATCATCATTATTGCTGGGGGCATACTTGCTGAGGTCCACTTGTGGAGGTCAGAAGGCAACTTTATGAAGTCACTTTTCCCCGCTTTTGAGACAGGGTCTCACTATGTAGCTAGCCATGGATGGCCTAGAATTCACGATGTACTCCATAGCAAATCCCACAGAGATCCACCTCCCTTTGCCTTTGCTAAAATTAAAGGCTTGCTCTACCATGCCTAGCCTTGGAGTCAATTCTCTCTTCTACTATGTGGGTCCCAGGGATTGAACTCAGGTCATCAGCTTGGCAGCAGCAAGCGACTCTATGGGATGAACCCTCTTACTTCCTCTCTTTTATTTTTATTTATTTATTTATTTATTTATTTATTTATTTATTTATTTATTTTTTGGTTTTTCGAGACAGGGTTTCTCTTGTGTAGCTTTGTGCCTTTCCTGGAACTCACTTGGTAGCCCAGGCTGGCCTCGAACTCACAGAGATCCGCCTGGCTCTGCCTCCCGAGTGCTGGGATTAAAGGCGTGCGCCACCACCGCCCGGCTGCTTCCTCTCTTTTAAATCTATCTGTCTATCTATCTATCTATCTATCTATCTATTTGATTTTTTTGAGACAGGGTTTCTCTGTGTACCCCTGGCTGTTCTGGAACTCACTCTGTAGACCAGGCTGGCCTCAAACTCAGAGATCTGCCTGCCTCTGTCTTCCCAGCACTGGGATTAAAGGCATGACCACTGCCGCCCAGCTTTAAATATATTTTAAAAATTATTTTATGTGTATGGATGTTTTACCTTCATGAATGTCTGAGCACCACCTGTGTGCCTGGTGCCCACAGAGGCCAGAAAAAGGGCATTAGGCCCCCTAGAACAGCATACCGCTGTGAGCTGACATGTGGGTGTGAGACTCAAATCCGGGTTCTCTGGAAGAGCAGCCAGGGCCTTTAATGGTTGGCTCGTCTTGCCAGCTTCCTCCCCATATTTTGAGACTACTCCTCTCTGTAGTCCAGGCCGAGACTGAACTGAGGGAGTCTG